CATTAGAACACCATTTGGGTATAAAGGAGATGAGCGATTTTTATTTCACTCACACACAAATATAATTAAAATCAAAAAAATTAAACAATCACAACGTACTCGCGCTTATAATCTAAACCTCCTAGTTTTGTGTAACCATCAGCTTTCCTTAAGTCCACATTTGCAACAGATTCTATTATGAATGTTTTTTTAAATTCAGATGAAAGATGTTGTCTATCCAAGTTTGCGAATGTGGTAACGAACGTCTCAATATTATTTATCAAAGTAGAATAATCGCTCAGCTCGTAAGTTGGTGAATCGTAGAGATCCTGGTGGAGCCTAAATTTATTTAGTGCATTAATATAAAGCGAATAATAAAAATAAAGACAACTTACCTCTCCACGCTTTCCCAGCAGTTGTTTCGAAGAAAGTAACGTTGTGGAAATGGTATAGAGTCGCGAGAAGAGTAGAGAGCAAAGTCTGTGAAATAACTCAAACCCTTGTGCGACTTGATGTCAACGTAAGCAGCAGTTAAGAAAAGTTCTTTAACTGCACAAACTGCAGAATACCACGCTTTTTCAGCAGATTTAAATAAATCTGGAGGGTTGAGGGACAAATAATAACGAGATTTATCGATGAAAGTTTTCGCCGAGTATTTCTCCATTTCTGCCTATAACAAATTAATTTTAATAATAAAAAAGACTAAAACATACCTCACACTCAAAATTCTCTGGATTGTCCAGCACTACGTTTTCTTTGAGTATTTGGCATACGTCTGCGAAATCGGCCCCATCAACCCAAAAATTCACTCCGTTCACGGCGAACTTCTTGGGCATTTTCAGGTCATAGTATGTAGTTGGGGATAAATGAAAAAGATAAACAAAATGGTATAAAAATACAAACGCGTTGAGCGTCGCGGCGCGTACGCCTAGTTCAACTGGAGCAACTGGGGTGATTATACTCGGTCAGAGGGAGGAAGATAAAAGTTCACAATAAGAGGAAGTGGTCACACCTACACCGAGAAAAGGAGCAGAACAGAAAATAGAAAGAGAGAGTGGTCAATCTGAAAGATCTAGATCTTATTGTTTGGGCTAATGCTTAACGGCTATGAAGAACTGGATAAATTGTTAGCCTGGTGAGATCATTTGATTCATGCATGTACAAGTGACAAACCGTGAAAAGATTTCTGATAGGGAAACATTTCTGGAAATCAGATAATAAGATAAAGGAAACAGTAGAGAAAATGCTGAGGAAGGAATGACATAACAACCGGATTCAGCTTCTTTTAATCGTCCCTTCTATTAGCATGTCGATAATATCTTCCTATTGTTTAATTGACATCGATCAAATAGATTTAAACTATTATTTTAATAGAATATATTTTTTGGTGAGACTGTCTGTCAAAGCCTTTTTTGTTCTCTGTGATGCACATATAAGAAATACTATCTTCTTCCCTCTTTTCCAATATTGTTATTCTCTCTCTCTCTCTCTCTCTCTCTCTCTCTCTCTCTCTCTCTCTCTCTCTCTCTCTCTTCTCCCATCTTGTTTTTGTTCTTTTTGATA